GCAGTAGTTAAATGTCTCGTTCGGAGAAAAAAAAACAGAATATCATAAATTAAGACTACTTTCCCATATTAATAACATTTATTCGAGTTCTATGGTTCGCCTCTTATAAATAAACCACTAATTATAGGGCTCTTATTTAATGTTTTTATTTTAAAACACCTGAAGATAAAAATTGTTTATTTATATGCAACTAAAAGATATCTATAGTTAAGCATGCATAACGGCACACCTGTACCTATAGATTTCTAAGTTTAGTTTCTTACACACTTAATCTTAAAAAAAAATATTCCAATATATAGAATTATTCAGTAATAGTGTTTTTATAATAATTGAGTATTACGTAATGTTAATTTTCTTAAATGAAATACGAGTGATGAAGTCGCGTGTACCGGCTAGTAGAATCATACAAACAGTCAGTCGAAAATTTTCATACTACGATAACATGAAGTTATTGTAAGTGAGTGAGTAACTTTAAGTATAAGTAGTAAATTTCATATAAAACCTTTTATTAAATCAACATATCAATATTTCTTATATTGCCATCACGCATTTGATTTACTTCTGTGTGATTAATTAAAAGTAGTTTTAGAATAACTTTAATTATAAACATAAAGTGGGTATATTGTATTAGGTACTACGAGTTTTCATCCTCAAACCATAAATAAACAATTTACAGTATTTTACTAACGTCCAAACTGTCATGTGTAAGTAGAACACGTAGTAAGTATTATTACATTATGAATGTACATTACATCGCTTTTTAATAGAAAAAGGGAAATTAAAATCAAAATTCATCTTTAAATTAGTTTGAAATCTTTGTCTCACATTTCACTGATAATAATAATCGGTTTTTTATCTTCCATACCTACTCTAAACTTTCGCATTCATACTAGCTACAAATAGTATAGAAATTATGAGGTCTAAGACTTTCGAGAGTATTCATTGAAATAAAACAAATATTTTCGGATTAGGTACTACGCGTTATTTTATTATTAATTTAAGTAGTGATAACGGTTGCGGTAAAATAATCGAAATATTAGGAGGTTAATTTAATATAGAAATTATAAGCTCATAGTGAAGACAATTAACTTCAATAAAACATTATTTTTTATATTTTTCGAATAAGTATGTGTAAATAAATAACTCGTTATACTTTAATCACAGAACTTTGAATAAAATGAATCCCTAATTGACAACACTCTTCTGGTTTCTGTGTCATCAATTTCCGCTGGATTTAATTTCATTGCACCTAAACAAATAAAATTCGCGAAAATATCAATCGTTTTATTATCAATTCTATTACATTTGCTCAGAGTCGAAAATTACTTAATACTTAGTAATAAGGTTCAATGTTTGCACCTTCGATGTTATATGGGTTTCAATTTGTAAGCGGCAGCGGTTAATTTCGTTTTGTTATCAAGCAGTTATATCAAATAATTTATTTCTTGAACCATCATTTCGAAAAGGTATAGCGTAACTGCGGATGAGTAAAAAGTAACAGTAAAATTATACGTATAGGTCAATAAAAGCATTTAAGTAACGAAACTTAAAAGTAATGATATACACCTATAATTAAAGTAATTTAAATTACTATATTTTTATGACTTGGACCACACAATTACGATCAGAATCCTCACAAAGAGACACATAAATGATCAACCACGAGCAACTCAGATTAACAAGCGGCTATTACGCTCCAGCGACAATAAAACTGTACTTCATAAGGGACAATACTAGACGACAAAAAACACAACGGACTTTATATTAGCAATAGAATTAGAGAACCGATACTAGGTATGGGTGAAATGGAAATGGTTGAAAGTAGTTCTTAATTGTATTAGGCTTATTTGACGCTTGTAAATATTTAAACTGCTGCCGAACTTATTTTTTCAAAATGAATTTATCGTATGATGCTTATGGCGATTATATTTTGTTATATCGAAAAATGATTATTAGCCGCTCTGACTGTATAATAATCTAAATATGTATTGTAAACAATAACTTGAAATTATTGTTTGAGACCCTCGTCCTGAATCCGATCACCGCTGAACGCCAATAGACATGTAACGTGATGCATCAATCGCACGCCCACTCGACGACACACACAACACAACATCGATAATAATACGAGACGAGTGCGCATCACTAGTGTGAGAAATGTAAACAAACTGGCAACAAACACTTATATATCGATATGTTACAATTCCTTTAGCAACACTATCCTTATATACTTACAGAAACTTAATATAATATATTGCATTAAATAGAATAAAATTTAACATCAAACAGAAACGATGTTTTTCATTTATAAACTTACATTTTAGCTAAAAGTCCAATACTTTTACTACAACTATCTATATGCATAGGTATGGTTGCGTAACGGTGCATTTGTTTCAATTACTTCAATATTCACAATGAGACAAAATTTATAACTAAACATTGTACTATCAAATAAAAATGATCTTCATGACATTAGCCAAGTATAATTTTTAATATAACCCAATTCAAACAACGTTACCTTCCTTATACAAACAGATAATATTACAGCATAAGAAACGACATAAAAAATACAATTGAATATTAAGATTATGAACTATCAATTTCACTTCACTTACCTACTCACGCTCTTCGATACAATTTGGGGCACACAGATATATATTTACACAAAGACATCGATATATTTTAACAAATGTCCATTTGTATTTATATATTAAACTTATTCGTTCTGAACACAACACACACAATGCGAAACGGATTCGGTAATCCATTCGTTAGATCATTACCATACTTTGTGACAATTGACATTTGTAAAATTCGCGCTCAGATTTATGGTAATGTTGCTATTTTTTTATTGGGCGTAACTATTGTTGCTATAATATTCTTAAAATTATGAAAAATAACAAGAATTTTTGTAAATAACTTTAAAATTAAGAATAATTGATTTCTTGTTTGTTTTATGAGTGTAAGATACAATATAAATATACTAAGATATACACGAGTAGGTACATACTGAATGATTCTTCGTACAGATAGGAATGATTTTATTCATAAGTGAACAATTTCTTAGTTTTATTCATATTCATTTTCAGGTACATTTATTTCCTTACTTAAACAATATTGTGAATTTTATATTTTACGACATAATCCAATCAAGTGTAATCATTTAGCCCATAATGCTTTAAAAATAATTTATTTATACCTTTCACCCTGTCAATAAGCAAATTTGTAACGGTTGTTAAATTCAGTTGCGTTCAACAATCGAATTTAAATCACAGTAGCAATGTAATACCTGTATACACATGTTAAGATTAACATTATAACATATGCAGAAATCATTTAACTATATTCAAATATCTTTTATACCGGCACATGTACGGTGCGTATCGGATCTATGAATGCATATTTTTTTATTGCCAATAAAATTTGTATGGCACTAAGTTAATTTGCGTATGCTGCATTGTGGGCACGATTGTCGACAACACCTCGGGCTTCGACTGCGGACCGGGGCGCGACCCGTGGCCCTCCGTTACAATTCAATCAGCAACCCCAGTTTTGTCATTCATAAACGATCACATTCATCGGTGGCCATGACGATCATTGCTCATTTAAATTTCAATCGATTCCATAAAAAGCGCTGCAACATATCGATATCTAATTTGCATCGGCTTTAACATTATTGGATCATATTTGGATGATAGACATATGGTAATTTGTATTTTAAGTTCTGATTGTGTCTTCGACGGCTGACAGTCAAGTTGGAGGTGACGTAGCTCCCTATTCCCAGGGATCGATACTTGCTTGTTATTCTTCAATCTTGTATCCGTTGTGATGTCTATTGATGTGCAAAATTTTCAATATACATTTAATAGGACTAAATCTTGACCTCTTGTATTATAACGGTTGATTTTGATTCAATTTATGACAGCGTTTTTTTCTCAGTCGATTCATAATAGGTATAAGAAAGCGATATATTTCTGCAATTTAAATTTATATTGTTAAAAAATTAAATTGGTAGTCACAAAGGAAAACATTTTACAATAATAAGTACTGAACTATGAACGTTTATATGGAAATTTAAATAAGATATAGGTATGTATAAGAATTATTTTTTATTCTATGTACCTATTATTGATACAACGGATTTTTTATATGAAACTTACAAAAACCACTGTTAGGACTTTCGTTTACTATTTATACATATTCTGAATGGTGTATGTACTTAATGCAGTACAGATTTTATTCTAGAGGAACTAAAATTTATTTATAAGTAAATAAATATAAATTGATATTAAAACATAGTCATTTTTTGAATTTCCATAACAAAATTATAAAAACTATTCTTAGTCTATACCTATTTCAGGAAATGACAATAACTTTTATTTATTGAGGTAAATTATCCCCACAATTGGGTATTTATCTGAACGTGTTACTGCACTATACCTCAAAAATATTAAACTTAACCTACTTTAAATGTTTTTTAACTATAAATACATAAATATTCCTCATATAAATTCCTCTAGCTTTAAAAAATTAATTAAATGAAATGAAAAGATATAAGGGAAACTTTAATATTATAAATGAATTTATATAGTAGGTATTTTGTGTTATGTTTTACGAGTGTTGATTTTATTTAAAATTTAATATTATGTAGTTCTTAATGATTTAAATATTTTAGCTTTACAATTTAAGCATTATTAAAATATTTTTAAATACCAATGGCGTCTTATTTAAAATATTTGATAAAAAAATGTAAATAGAATGTTTTTGTATGAATGTGTAAAATAATATTGAAAAGAATAGAACGTGTAACATCGTCATCTTTTATTTATTAAGTAATACAAACAAAAGAGATACCTAATCATACAACAGAGGGACGCGCATGGCTCGCAACCAATTTGCATTGTGACGCGGCACGGCCACAGTCGGCTTGTAAACGGTCGAATTCTTATTTTGATATTCGAACAGTCGCTCTCCTTCTGCATAATAACATCCGTAAGGTAATGGCAGTTGCTTGTCCAATGAGTGTTCCCGCTCTCGTGTCGTGGGCGGACGGCGCGCCCGCCATTGGCTCAGCCGGGCGACTTCATCACACGATTTGTTAGTAGCGAGTCACCGCGGCTCGGCACGGCAGCACACCGCTCCTCACCGCACCGCGCCCGCACCGAAATATACACGATTGTCGCCATTGTACGGAGCGACGTACGAACGACGGCCGTACGGGATCGCTAGAAGCTACACGGAACATACGGGACACGAAAAACGGGACACTTATTATATTACTACAATGATATCTATAGTTTAGTTTGTATTGAACAGTGTTCGTGTAGAGTGACTCTGATTGTATGAGGGTTTGAAGTCGGTGGATCTAGTTACCAAACACCAGCGGTCACCTGATGAGGTAAAGGCTCTTGAAAAGTTAAGAATCCTTGAGAGTAGTGACTTGTCGGTAGTAAAGTGTACTAACAGATGTACACCCTTTCACAACTCGACTACCAAACGTCGATGAACTCGTAAGTTTTAATTATAAATTATATTATTATTCATATTTATATTATTTCATAGTTTTATTCAAGTTATAGGTATGGAATTAAAAGATACAGTTTTTTTTAATATAATTGACCTAAATTAATGAATGTTTAATATAACTATAGAAATCTATTTAATCTAATACATGTTTAAAGTTGCTTGGTAAGTGTCGTATATTTATATCTTTATACCTATATCGCATGGGTCTATATTCTGTAACTGGTTGATAGCTTCTGAGGGCCCATCGATTAATACGTCACTAAGGTCCCTCGGGGACTGGGGCCTGTATTGAGTCCCGAAGCATTCATCACAATGATATCAATATATGTGAAACTAGTTTTAACGCGCGACTCCTCTTATAATATATTGATTAATTATAGTTCAGATACTTATAAATACTTTACTGTGATCATCATTAAGACAAATAGGGGACTGTTCCAGTTGAATAAACTGTTTTGAGTTATACGTAATATTTATTAACTGTATAGGTATGTATGATAAAATTAATATTACATTATTTAAGGTTTAGTTAGTTTTGTTTTTAATTTTTATTTTGGAATAAAGTTTTTATTTGACTAACTCCTAAGGTTTCAAATTAATATTGTTGATAGATTCTTATAAGAACGTATTTACATGAAACTTATCCAAATAAATATTAATTACCATTACTTCTTTCTTCGATGATGGTTATAGTCGTTGATATCACTTCTAGGTACTCGTCTTTTTGTAACAGTTCTTATAAAGGATAGCTAGGTAGTACTATATAGGTAGACATTGCGATACACTTGATGGCTTGGTATAATTATATTTTGAAGTGAACTATTATAGTTTCTAACAGTCCTTCTGACATAATTTACCAATTTTTGCTCTCGGCTTCACTCGATAAAAATATTTTTGTCTATTTATACTACAATATGTGTACACCTAAATTATACGGTCTAAAGCAATGTATAATTTCATAATAAGTTAATTTGAAAGACAAATAATATAACATTTTAATTATGATGTAGGTATAGTTTGTATTCAGGTCGGAATTCTTTAGGTAGGTAGGTATATACTCATAAAATATCCTAAGTTTGATTGAACCTTCTTTATTTAAAAGAAATTCAACAAAATTGGCTCAGGCTTTTGTAATACTTACGTCTACTTACAAAAAGATATCAATTATACAAGATATCAATATAGATATCAATTATACAAGAAAATGTATATACAAATAATAAAGTCTAAGAATATTGATAAAGGAAAGTTAAGTCTTTTTTTAATATAACATAAAGAAAATAAACTTGACGAAGAACAGTTAGTCAATCATTTAAGGTAATTACCTATACGTACTATTACGTTGTAAACGAAACGCATATATTATCCTAATTTAGTCATATTAACTTTTTAAAAACAAATTCCTATTGGAATATGTTTATTTTTACTTATTATTGGAAATTTTCCATGAAAAAAATGGCCAGCTCCTCGAGAATGAGATAATATTTAAAACTATTATTCTGTTTTTTGAATGGACGTATTTAGCTAATGTTAGAATTAAATAGTATTTATGATATTTAGAAATAATTATTAATTATACTGTTTATTTCTTAATAAATATATTATATATATTTGTACAACTAACATTTTAAACTTAACATCAAGTTGACAGATCAACATGTAATCTCTTTAACGATTAAAGTGGGTACTCATACATTTTATTTGAAATATTATCCAAAATAATGTGTTATCCAATAAATCTTCGTATTCAACTTGTATTACTTAAATTATACAACATTGTATCTAATGATAACCCAATTACGTCATATATAACCAAATAAGTCTTAATACACCAGGTTACTGAAAGTACATTTTAAACCAATCAGTTGTGTTAGGCTCGTCTAATGAACCCCGGTTTATTGCGGGTTGGTGTTATAAACAACTTATTTTTACACTTTTACAATAGCGATTACCCTTAGCTTTGAACACGCCGGCATTTTGGTGATGAGTTATTGACCTTGCGAGGATTTTTTGGAATTTTGAGATGTATTTAAAGTTACACAAAGTTAGAGGGATATATCATTCTTATTGCTTTACTGGTGTAGTCACTAATTTTTTTGGAAAAATTGATAATTTTCTGAAACAAATTACAGCATTAATAAATAGTCGTAATAATATAAAATGAAGTACCTAAAAATTAAGAATGGAGAAAAGTCAATGTCTTTTCATGTTTATCGAAAATTTGCTTTGACAACTATGATTTCATAAACAATCAAAATATAATAACAAAACGACGGCAAATTACATAGGTATTTATTTTACGTACATCCATCATTACCTACTCATGCACATTAAGAGTAAAAACAATTCTTCCACCATCTTATCTAGAATCGGAAATTAAATACAAAAAAACCTTCATCTAAACTAAATAATATTCCAACAGATCAATCCCTACATACTAAATAAATGATTCTATTACATATAAGAATGCATACAAAGCTAGTAAAAGGCGTACATTTCTTACTTGAAAATAAGACATTACCTAATGTAGGAATAAGTATCTCTGATCACTAGTACAGGTGATAAAAGACTGGGACCACATAACTGTTTGTTCAGCGTGTGTCAGTTGATGGCGGCTCACATAAAGTGTATTAAACAATCCGCAGCGTCAGTACTCGCCGCAGCAAACAACATGCGTGTGCGCATCGCATTAACGAGACGCGCGCTTACAGATACGAATTAATACATGCACTTACTCATTCTGACGTTTGGCTTAAAGAATCTAACAAGTGTTGCGTACAGCGCAAAAATTATATATTATATATGTATAAATACTTGTATATAATTATTATGTTATGAAAATTACATTTTAGTTTAACGCACGCGTGTTGAAATTAAATTATAGATTATTAGCTCCATATGTTAAAATTTAGTATTACATATATATCAATGTATCTAGGTTATGGAGATAGAAAATATATGGCCGAAGTTATGTTTAAAGTACGTCAATAATCTATGTTGAAATTTTTATAAAATCAATATTAGATTATTATCACAATATCAAAAACTTTTATTTGATATTATTTTGCTTGTAATATTTTTCTTATTGAATAACTAGTAGTTCCGTTTGAGAAAGTGTTTCTTATTCGATCAGGTAGTCTTCTTCGTCTAGGCAGTACGTATCATACTCGTATGTTTTAAAATAATAGTATTAAGGCATTTCTTATAAGAAAAAATATAACATCCACCTAAATTGAGTTTATCTATTGGTTTGTCTGTTTGATATCGAAAAAGCTCCTTTTCAGTTTGTTAATTTGTTTAAACGACCCACAGAAACAGAAAATTAATCTTTCATGACCACTAAAAATATGAAACTAATCCTAATTTACAGGATTAAGATCATTTAAAATCGTGATTATGTTGTATATTATATAGTCTTTGAAGTCTGAAACCTTAGCTGTAATATATCGCGGCGAAACAAGTCATAAGCCAACGATGATGTCTTCACTAACAGATGTTAATAAGTTACATCAATACTGATAAAAAATAGAAATAACGTTCGAACTTGGCATTTTGATTTCTTAAATTGCTTAGACAAAGATGGCGGCGACGCACAGTAGCTTGTTTGAAGACCAGTCGGTGGTATTTGGATTTTAAGATTGATGCTACGATATGAAATCATGATCCACAGATAAATATTTTAATATTAAACTTTCAGAATATTAACAAGAGAAATTTTTATAATGTTTAAGAATCGTAAAATAATTTCTTGTGATAAAATATTTTTTATTTAGAAAAAACTTGGATCGAATCAATGGCGCCTCAAGCGAATTTATTTGACGAACAAATGAATGCTATAAATGAGCTAAACAAATGATATTATATGTAATTCAGAGATAGTAAACATTGAAGTCCTCAAAAATTTCATAACGTTCACAACAACGTTACATCAATGTTTGTGCAGGAGTTGACAACCCACTGTGAATTAGTTACGTGTTGTTTCGTATAGAGCACACAACTTTGGAACTTTAGAATCTTTAGGGTTCCCTGTCATCTTTATTATAGTTTTAAGTTGACAAAATCTCGGTACTAAAGGTTCCGCGTGATTCACATAAACTTAATATCTCAATCATCTTCTTCTCTTAGAAAAATCGTCTAAAGCATTGACATAATAATTGTTTGATTCTAAACATTTCAACTCTCACACTTATATAGAGAACACGAAAATACTTCTTCCTTCCTCGAGTGTATAAATCGCACAGGAGGCAGGTGACAAATATTGACATATGCCGTATACAAATAGAACCTTTCTGACCCAAATACATTTTTCTCGGTAAAGCAAAACTGGTAGTCGTAGAGAGAAATAACAAAAAAATAAAGTAAACGCCACACCAGAAGTAAATCCCGGATTTGAATCTAATTAGAGGTCCCTGTTTAGGTAACAATGATCACGTTCGATATAACTAGAAGTTGCCTTATCGATTGATTGAAATTTTAAAATATCGGGGGAGTTAATAATTAATAATTACTAAATTAATACATATAAGTAATATTATTTGTGACTCGTTAGACGTAACATCAAATGTAGTTCATTACCTAACACATAGCTACGTTTCAAATTCAATTTGAATGACGTAATACTCACTCCTTATGGGATTTGCGGTGCCATGTTTCCGACTGTTTGATTTGAGAAATAATTGTATCGTTTTGCGTTGATTACGATTCTAAACGGTTTCAATTTTAATTGGCGGAATAATTTAATCCAATTTGTTTCGTAGGAGGCCTCGGTTCGTGTGGGGATTGCCCTAATAATATTTAGTTTTGCATTATTGTTTCGTAATTTACATCTATGTTGGAAACCTTGTAAGTTTTCTTGTTATTTTCCAAGTCTGGTCGTAGGCGGGTTTAAATGGCGTCTTATTAAATAATGTTGTTTGTCGCTTTCTTAATGCGAATTTAAGTATTAGAATGAGACTCCGACAGGTAAATCATTAAATGGGGGAAGAGACCAATCAGAAACAAGTATTTCACCCGTGTCACAAGCAGCCAATTTGTATAGGACCCTTTATAATGCGTATGATATTAATATTTTCCACTTTTATGATCACAGTAATTGTCGCTGGATATTAAAAGTTGCAATTGTTGCGACGCACGTGGTATGATGGGGCGAACTACCTACTGCTATAACGGCGTTATTAGATTTTTTAGTTCTTGTTATACTTAATACTCATGAATAATGTTTTTGGTTGTTGATTTTTTAATTTCTTTTGTGTTATATATATTTATGTCCATACTTACCTATAACATTTTCGGTATAGTATTTCGAGCTATACGTACGTAAAATAAGATGACGTTAAAGTTAAATACTTTGTTAACAGTGCCGCTGGTGCTATGTGCGATCGAGCTGGTTATGGTAGCACCATGAGCCACTTCCCCATGGGCCCGATGTCGGCCATGGGAGCCATCGGCACAATGGGAGCGATCTCGGCCATGAACGGCCAATCACACCAGAAGAAATCCCAGGAGGAACACATCAAACGACCCATGAACGCCTTCATGGTGTGGTCGAGACTACAGAGGAGGAAAATTGCCCAGGACAATCCAAAAATGCATAATTCGGAGATCTCAAAGAGATTAGGTATGTATCAACGTATTATTTACAGAAAACTATTTGCTTCTCACGTTACTCTAATCCAATTTACATTACGACATTAAAAACAGACCTTCATATTTAATTTTAGCTGACTGTGCAAACAAAAATTTCAAGGATTTTGTACAATATTTGTTAATGTAATTACATACTCTTATCATAGTCGGCCACCTCTTCATGGTCAGAAATCAAAAGTCTTATAAACTATCGTACATATGTTAAGGATATTGGTGTAATTAATTTCAATGACGTCTCAGGATTGAAAGGCTTCATTTTGATTGCAAATTGATCATTTACATCTCACCTTTGTGGTGAGGAGGCTTATAGAACATGCCCTTTTCAATTATCTCACACGATAGAGGAAATGTTAATTAAATCTGAAACAATTTGATTATATTTAATGTTGAAGATTTTATTTAATAATTCCGCAGAGTATTAATAAGGTTTTTCTCACACTCTTCACCCAATGCTGCGCGATTTTTTCACGTCTTGTCTTTTTCCGACTGGGTTCAATAACTTTTGTGTTACGATTGACCTTCATGCTTAATTTGACATTTCTACGACACAATGGTCGTTAAAAAGCCGACTGGACGACTATGGACCTTGCGGACACACAGAGTTGACAAATGTCTTCGAAAATCGTGCTCACAAAATACGGAGCGCTAAAAAAATTGCCCACCGTAAAAAAAAGCAACGCGCAATCAACCGGCAGAAGCGTCACAGCGGGGTACCGGCCACCGAATTAATCAACGGCTAAAAGTAAGCAAAATCCAGTCTAACAGGGAATTTAAAAATGTTCAGAAAAGGGGAGACACGGGCGGGAGTATGGAGAAATAAAACCAACAGCGTCCGCCATTCTGGCAGTGACGGCGACAGGGAACGACATTTTCTATTTTTCCCTCCTTTTCTTGTGTAAAATGGTTCCGTGGGTTCACCACGAACCGGAGTTAAATGTAATCATTACTATACATTTTTAAATAATCGAAACAAATTATCGTCGTCATTTGTTTCGTTGATATGACGTCGTGCCATGAAATGTGATTGTCAGACTGAAAATACAGGAGCGCAGTTCAGGTCTAATTGCAATTCTAATACAAGTCAGGCAGTAAGTTAAGTCGTGCTATCTTGTTGATACAGAATCTCTCTATTCTGACTAGTAGGTATGCGACTGTAGTTTGAACGGGAGTATTGTATATGTTAACGAAAGGAGCGGGGCGACATGGCTTGTATTGTCCTCTTCAAACAGCGCATGTTTTATGCATACAACGTCTTTTAGATCTGAATGGGAAGCGTTTGTTTGCTGAAATTACTTGTGCCCGGTACAAGGAGAAAATATCTGAAAAAATTGTAAACAGAATTTTTAATAGGAGCGATTTCTCAGTGTTAATCAAGGTTTTGTAACTTCTATGTTATTTTTACATGCCGAGTCCTAGCCATAGAATCAAAATCCAACATTTAATATAATGGGAAATGTTTTGACGTAGCTTACGTCTGAAAATATATGTCTTCCATATACAGTACATAACAAGGCGGATCACTTATTGTATTAGGCGAAATAAAGTATTTGCAGTACTTTTAATAACCGTGGTCAGAACGATAGCTACAAAAGAATTACATTTCCGTCTCCAATCAATAAGAGTTGCGGACTTCAATGAATGTAATACAATCCACGTTATCAAACAATGATTAGAAATCTAAACCATTTCAATCACATCTGTCGGTGTAATATATGGCTGGTAAAACGCTGGTTTTGTATTGTACCGTATTGTACCGTATTGTACCGTATTGTACAGTATTGTGCTGTACCTGCCGATCGAGGTACGTATCCCCCGCTCATTGTTTATAGTCATTAATAAATCGACGCACAAAACGCGTTTTGTTTACGAAACCAATCGAAATGTCGCGCGACAAATGTCGATGAGCACAACAAAGGTGCTGTGCAGTGCGTATCTTTTAACTGAACAGTGTTGAGACACACGGCCCTCTCGCCTGAGAAGCATATCACATCGGGATCTTATTCGACAGTACTCAATATTATTACGATGAGTTTCAGATAAGAACGAATTTGTGTGTCGGATATTGGGTGTTAACATAATTTAAATTTATCTTTAAATAAAATAAATTGTAAAACTTATCTATAATTTCATTAGTTTCATAAAAAAATAAGCTTAAGAGTTGTATAACATATATAAATATTTACACATTTTCTATATTATAAATTAATAGGATATAATATAAATATAGTATAGATCGTTCTATAAAACATTCTCAGCTGTGTGTTTGTTTTCATTTCTGTCTGTTTCGTTTACCCTCTATCCGCCAACTGTTAGGGGCGTCGCTCGGCGTGTGTAGTTAATATTAATTAAGACGGGGGCGGGTCATTGTAGTTCGTGTAATTGGTTTTCATTTATCGATACCGACAACCCTGAACCCTGTACGCGAGACGGTTTCCCTGATTACATTTAAGATGCTTTGACTTCGAATGTACAGAGTTTGATGATTACAGATTGGTATAAGAATGATATTTTTAACATTCATAATAGTATATTGATTAGATTCAATTAATATTACACCTTAAAAACTGTCAAAAGCTTTCTATCAATCACACAAAAAACTATTATAAACCAATTCGTGCCAGTTTCCGTAATGAAAGGTAATTTACAACCAAAAAGCTTCTATTCTTACACAAAACAGAACACTCGCTATAGTATGTTTTAATGGATTCCCCCCACACAATAGTTATTCGTAGCGGGTAGGTACTATTGTAGAAAAAATTAGACTTTTCAAAAAACCACTAGGGTTATTATACACGGAGTCGCTATTGGACATGCCTTCACACCACAACAGATGAAAGCCAATGGCATTAAGTGTAGACACGGCTTAATTACTGCATCGGCCACAAAAAAACTCACCGCTGAAACAAAAAACGCTGAATAAGGCCGGATACATAAGAGCGGAGAAAATCGACTTAAATTGGATTTATACCATATGTTTCGTAACGTCGAGTCGAGCGAGTGATTCGATCGTTAGTTGTGGGTACACTAATACATGTGCTTATGTCGGTAATGTGTGTACGCCCTTATACGTCTTCTCCGCGTTAATAAAACGTACGGGATATATTCTAAAATTGAATCGTCAGAGCAAAGATAATTCCTGTTTCATACAATCGTAACACCAAATAGTGTACGTACTGAGGGAGGCTTATCACGGCGACGCAGGCTGTCAGGGGCACGCTACAAAAATACTGTTGTATCCTTGTTGTTGTTGAAAGGGGCGTTTGTTGCCCTTGTTTAATTACTGCAGCCTTTTGTACCTGCCTGCATTGTTGATGCCATGGGACGTTTCTTTTTTAATACTCTCCGCGTACGCTTACATTATATAATTGATATCGTCGCCGTACCATTTACTCTCTGAGTAGGTACAACAGCGTTCCTCAATCTTCTGTAAATACGATGCGATCGATACAATAGAACCAACACCGTCAATAATTGAAACTGATTCAATCTTAAAAAAATATCTATCAAGATTTAATAAAATCATGACCTAAATAACGTCTTACCATTCAATTTTCCGGACTAAAGGGTGGGTTCCTTCGTCTTTGCTCGCCCCCCCCCACCCATCCTCCTCCCGGCCTCCTCTATTGTCGCAGCACACGAGCTTTCAGCGTAATGAAGAGCATTTTCGTCCGATTCCGAACACAATAGTCGTTTTAATACAACGCAGAGAGGAAATTCCTTTGTCGCAGGCTGCATTGTCCCGCGAGTGTGTTACATACTCAGTTGTTTTTTGTCTCGCACATTTGTTTGTGCGATTGTCGCTGACAAAGGCATGTCATGTAAAACGATAGTGTTTTCGGTGTTCTATTGAGAATGACGCGTCTTGGATCAAGGATCCATCAGGACCCTAGCTGATGATGTACCTACCATGATGAAAAACGCTTTTACGATATTAAATATTTAGTTTTTGATTTAATAGAATATTGTTTTAATTATATTCAGCTCGTTCATGATGTTTATAAGAATGAAAGAAATCGAATCAACAAAGACAGAATGAAAAATACATTTTCCACTGTTGTTTGAACATAGAGTAATCATTATTCAATGTTGCCATTGTTTAACGTAGGCGGGATGTAGGAAATAATTATTGTAGAGTGGCAACACTTGTGCCACGTGCCGCTTGCAGTATCGGTTAATTGTTAATTAAATTAAAAACGAACATAAAAAAATTCTAACTATAGTTTTTGGGTCAAGTTTTAGCGGGCATGTTACTTTAATATGTTGAAGTATGAATTAATTGCTTTATTTAAACTAGCCGCAATCTCAATCGACCTTTATAATAATTAAATTTATGCTGGATATAAACGTTCAAAAATCATGAAAAATATTTACCTCTTAATTAGGGTATTTAAAAAGAAACTTTAAATGATAAGACAGGCACAGGATATTGCGGTGTCAAAATTATAGCAATAACTACATACGTACATAATTAGTTCGGTCTCTTTGTGTTTAAAATTAAATTGTACATCATTGTGTATATGACAATTGTCTGTTTAGCGACAGTTGTCTTGCTTTCACTAGAAACATGAACGTGTTATAAAGATTTTAATGATATTACTTCTATCTCATATTGGTTTAATTTCTTTAAGCGATCAAATCTAATTTCATCATTATTGCTATATATAGAGTTATTTGAAGCGTACTAATCTTCAGCTATCGTTTCTTTAACAAATGAAGTAGTTATAAATCCTAAGAATATCACAAAGGACATTGGAATCGCCGCAAGTCTCGTTTTACAGGACGTATAATAGTAAGCAAGTAAGATCCTTATCACCTAACAAAAGGCAATACCCCCTGGTATCGACAATAATGAGGAACCGGGAAAAACTTCTGTAGCGGAATGAAAAGCGCAAATTCGTCATTAGGCGGCGCTTTCTGCCATTGTTCCTCGTCCCGCTCGCTCTCACACAAATTCGGCTGGGCCTGAATGGGACGGGATGTTTCTACCGGATTGTTCGTTTCAATGTTGGCGACATTGTTTTCGCTTTTATACCCGGCTGAATCAGAATTGTCTTGTCTGTTTGAATGGACGGTGGCGCCCCTCCACGGCATCCACGAATACAGCCTTCTATAAATGGGAGGAGACAAAGGGTTGGTCCCTTGAATCGAGCTGGGAGACAGGTCGTTCCTGATTTCGATTATATTGTATCGATCAAAGGCTTTGTCTGCGCAATGAGGGATGGTTAGAGCAAATTACTTTTCTGTTTTTGTCCCTCGTCATAATAGTTGAATTGTTTGTTCTAACTATTGATGGAAAAAACCGGAGGATTACATAAAGTTCCTGCAGATCATCAACTAAGTTCATAATAGGAATCTAATCTATTGTATATTAACACTGTCAATAGAAAATAAATTGTATGTTGTTACTAAAAAATGTATTAGCACATTAAGTAGGTCCAAAATAGTCTATTTGGAGACGTTTTATTCTAGAAGATACTTAATTCTTCTCACAGGCGCTGAATGGAAGTTGCTCTCAGAAGACGAGAAGAGACCCTTCATTGATGAGGCGAAGCGTTTGAGGGCCATGCACATGAAGGAGCACCCGGACTATAAGTACAGACCGCGGAGGAAGCCGAAGACTCTGAGGAAGGAGGGCTACCCCTACTCCATCCCTTATCCTAGTGTACCGATGGACGCCTTGAGAGCCGGTAAGTTATCACTTTATTATCATCGAAATTGCAATATACGTGGATTTACATGAAGCTTCTATGGTACCTATCTCGATACAAACTGGATTAAAATTAAGTTTTATATACATATGTAAATAAAGATGATATATTGGATATAATAAGATTAAATGAATATACATAGTATTGGTAAGAAGCAAGCAGTAACAACTTCAATAGAAATAAAAATGTAACGAATTCTATCAATACTCTTTATAGTATAAATGAACAATGGTAGTTTTTAATGCGTCTGTTGTCCGTCCGTTATGCAACGATTGTTGTCAAATGGATTTAACAGCAAAAGTATGAAATTCGTGTTCAATCGATAAAGGGCAAGCAATAGACGCCAACTAGCTCTATTCTATAGATGTCATCGATTCTCCGCCTCATTGGAGTTACGTAACCTCATGCTTCGTTTAAACGTTCCAGTCATCTCTTACAACGCACTCACAATAAATAACTGTTATTTTTTGTATACATACTAAAAATATATCTATACATAATTCATTAAATCCACTTCCATTTAAAAATAACGCTAAAATTTTTAATTTCACAGTAAAATAAACATTATTAAGGAATGTAAATCATTTGGTAGTAATTAATGCGAGTTAATTGTACATTAATTCAAGTGAGCTAACGAGATGTAAAGACAGCATCGCGGTCACTAGCCCCGTGACAAAAAACTCGAGTCACGACTTTTTTCCGTGACTCAAACTGAGAAATGTTATAAAGTAAAAACTGACATTGTTATAAACATTATAGAAACAAGTTGATTATATTACACACACTTCATATAATGCTAATATTGTCTCGACAGAATATAGTTTTGTTTCTAATAATTATTCTCCTTTGACCGATACGTATTCGTCTATTCGTATGTCGAAGAAAATCGTTGAAAGAATACATTGAAGTGAATTGTTTTTAACACTGATCATTGGTCAGTATACGAACTCATATCTGACTGTTTTATTTCATTGAACTATTCAGTTTTTTTTTAAATTATCGTACGTGTAATAAGTATACGGTCCCCTTAAAACCAAATAAACCTTTTTGGTTTGAAATGTTGTGAATATTAATTGTAGAACACCAAAATAATTTTCAATATATATTAATAACTGTAGCGTCCTTGTAAGACGCTCGTAACCTGCATTACAATATTTAACCCTAAGTTACACGGACAAAAACCCAAGAACCCAGACCCCAATATAATGTGAGGACGGGCATAGTTTAAACCTTCTTGACTGCTTTTGACAGTTGACAGTTTTCACATGAAGCTGGTGACAATGGGGTTAGGGGGTGCGTCAAATTTCGCAGGGTTAGGGCCTGACATGCGATTATGTTTATTGAAAGATCCATTTTAAGGGGATGTTATTGAATTTTTAAAGTTTTTTACTTTGTGGTATTTAATTCGAGTGTAAATAATGTGCTCACAGATGATAAATGTCACTATTTTGACATAATTTCCATCGGACACAAATGTTTTATCTGTGGACAATATACTTTACGGTAGTACCTATAATCTGTTATATGATATTTAATTAACGTTATGGGTTCTCCTAAATCTCTCTCGATTTCAAATATTCGTTTGGCCTAGAGAATTGATTTAGAGAGATCGTAATATTTTTCTAAATCTTACTCGTTAAGAACCAGATACGGCTGGTGAGTAAGGCGTGGAGTATTTTCATCGTGTGATACATTATCAGCCATTACATAAACATCGACTAAAGACAAATTAGTCGTTAAAGTCAATGAGGCGTTTTGTCCCTGCGGTCTGTGTGGGCGTGGTCGCACGTGTGTCGCGACCCTTAGCCAACACACCAAATAGCTTTTAACTTAATTGCTACCGCGAATTTATGGTGGAAATAAAATTGGGGTGAATTAAACACGGCTCTGAGATCGTAAAGTAATTTTATAAGACTTCACCACTAAGATATGCTTTCAACCCTTAAATTGAATTTATTGTTATTGTTATACAGACATACAAACAACGTTAGGAATTAAATTAAATTTTTAATCAAATAAAATATTGATTAAACGAGTAATATTATGTCATATACATATTTAAAATTATCAATTTTTATGTTCTGTCGATGAACACTGACCGTCATAAAGTTTCAATAATATTATATGTCAATATTACTTTGATTTGATTTTCTCATTCAATATATCCAAACATTTCCTCTTTAAGTATAATTTATGCTAAAATGTCGTAAAATGACCACTTAAGGGTCGCTACACACGCGGCGGGCACGCGTCTTAAATAGGCCCCCGACACACTCCGCGTCTCCGCCCACCAATCGCAAGGGTGGATGTGGACCTTATTTAACATTGATTTTGTCTTAAAAACCCATAACTAATATCAACTTTATTATTAGGGGAATTAATTTTTTACATGGGCTCTCCATAACATCAAATAACAAGGATGAATAATTTAACAACTTTGTCTAAAGTTTTTTATGAATTCCTCTGTTTGGCAAAATAATCAAAGCAAATTACTTTTTATGGAAATACATAGATTTTAGTTGAAACTTACTTAATTATAGTAAAAAACTACATACTACGGCAGATGAGATGACTGCCTATGATCACGGTTGCTGAAAAGTAACCGAAACGTCGGAAGTATGTAGTTTATACAAAAATAAAGCACGCGTAGTACCTACCTATATATCCGAAAAATATTAGTTTCATTTAAATGAATAAAACTCTCGAAAGTCTTAGATCTCATTAATATATAAATTTATAATTAATAAACAATAAAACTACTTATAATATTGATTATAATCTGTTTTTTCAAGAAACATTTATCCAAACAGCTCTAAGCTTTATAAGTATTTATTTAAAAACTGTTCAATTAAACTACAATAGCTACATTGTTGAACTGTTCCTGAACAATGGCTTCAGTAAACATTCCATTAAAATGAGAATTTATTTAATATTAATTGTACATTGTACAGTCCTGACGTTAAGTACTGACAGTGACACTCGTCACGTGTTCCTGTATAATGATGTTTTAAACATATTAGTAAACGCAACTTTAACGCAAGTATGTATTCAATACATTGTATCATTTGTAAATGAACGGAATTGAAACTGTGAGTGTTTGTGTAAAGTGAGAACGCATACTAAGGCTACTGGTTCAAATTTCGTATCTGGATTACGAAAGTCGTGAAACAAATAAAGTAAAGGTTTGTCTTATTAATAATATGAGTAAGGAAATTTTTAACGACATAAATGAGGAGGAAAACCGGGAAAAGTTACATGTCTAGTATTGTCTATTAAAAATAAAATCAATATTTATTAAATTTCAACATATTCACGTGACTGTACCAGCAGCTAACTTGTTCATATTTAAACAGTTGCTTAATCACATTGTTGTAACAATGGTTGTGTGTTTGTTTAAAAATTCATTACATATATACATCTTAGAAGAAAACATCAGTGTTATATGTTACTCGTTATATGAGATTACAGCTACATACTCTCCTATATTTTTGTATGGATTTAATTTTTCATAATGAAATATTTCCACATTACTGAAGTAAAGAAAAGAAAGAAATATCTTTTTATATGTTTATAAGAATGTGAGAGTATTATATTATTTTACTGATAAATAATGTTATTGTGATAATTTGAGGAGTAATAAAAAATTACTAGTTTTTTACCAAAAATTTTTAATATCAGGCAAAAGTACAGAGGACTGCATATTATGTTATAAAAGTTATAAAGCCAAAATCCCATTGAATTATTTACGATAATATATAAACATAAACTATCTATTAAAAAATATAGATTTCAATATATTAGTACAATTAATAGTATTAGTTAAAGTATTCTTTATATTTGTTATTCAAATATAAATAGTTGCATATTCATATTGTCTTGTAACTGATACTTTGGTTAAAGAAAACATTTTTTCCGTTACATTTGTATGTTAGCAATTTTAATTGTCCCTTAATCCAATAAATAGCTGCATCACGATTAGCATATTATGACGGTAGTTTGTTGAGCGGAAGTGACCAATGGCGTGCGCTGGCGGCTCCCCCTCCCCCGGGCCGAGCTTCCGGTCGCGTGACGTCATTTACATGACACTCGCGGGTAGTCCGGGGAAGACACATTAGTCTGTTGAAGGAAATGACTTTCAGTTTTTAAGTTACTATATGGTAATGTACAAAAGCAGCACTAGGAATACATCTATTCTGTATTAATAATATTTTGTTTACAATAGGAAAACTCTAAGATAAATATATACATATATAATAATAACGCATTTGTCTCAACACAGTTGAGTTCAGATGTCGTGATTCGCAAGTAACGCTAATCTATCAGCTTAACCACGGTTTGTTAGATCCGAGGGTATCCCAAAAAACGGCTGCATCATCCTTGTAAGAATGTTTTGACAATGGGATACTCGATTACATTAGGGGTGAAACACTACAGGGATGTACTGACCTGTTAAATAAAAATAACCAAAGGGAAGCCACAAATAAGTGCAGAGGAACCAAAAATAGCGAGCATTATAGACCATAGAAAAACTCAATTAGTCCAACAAAGAAAGGGTTAAATCCAGTAGCAACGATACCGCAGTAATGCTACATCAAAGGCTCGATTTTAATTAAACCTGAGACGCTGGTAAGAACTAACTGTAACGGTTTGAAAGGTCTCCCCATGTAAAGAAAAACTTTCAGTTTATATTTTTTGCCGTGCGGACGACTGGGCCGCTGACGAAAAATTTTGTGCTCCTTTTGATATTTAAGTTTGACTTGTTTAGACTTACTTTTATAAGCCGCTCACCGATTGTTGTTTCAGTACTTTTAAAACCATTATGTTATGAAAGTTCTCAGTTTAACATTTTTCTTTTTATCAGAAAACATAGCTAAGGGCTTTAACTTGTTTGTTTTAATTTATTGATATACCTATAAATAATTGTTCTTAAAATACATCACCGATACTATAATTTAATACCAAAACTCATTTCCCCATTCACTAATAACTCCTTTTTCCATACTTATATTCCTTCCATATTTCCATTCAGACCGATTCATATTCTCTCAAAAGGAATACGTCAGGAAATCCCATTTAGAGCGAACAGTAACAAATCATCCAGACAACACCTGACGGCACAAAAATGACCACTTTTCCGTGAAATTTAACGTATTCAAATACAAAACTCGGGCGAGGGTCCGACTCTAAGAGAAAATCCCTTTTCGCATCGGACCTTTTCTAATAGGATCCTGTATGCACAATACCGGGGTATATTTACGTATTAATACATTATGTCCGAGGAAGACGGTCATTATCAGCATGAATGGCTAGAAGGTGGAAATGGATGGATTGTGGACGCGAGGGGCTGTACACGACCTTTATAATACAAAAGTTACACTTTATTTTTTTTTTTGGGACCGTTTATATTGAAAGAATCACCTAGCTATATTTTGCCAATATAGAACCGAAAAAACAAAAATATTATCACATTTAATTAGTTTTATAATATTTAACGGAGGACGGAATCCATTATTCAGTGACGGTGATGTCATACTTAAAATATATTTAAAAAACGAACGATAAACGTGTGTTGGAAATTAATAAAACTCTTGAAAAAGTCCGCAGAGAAAATTCATCGTTATTCACGCCAATACCAGGCGAAGACATCAGAATACGCCGAGAGATGACAACGAATTTAATTATAAATATAATAAAAAATCTCCACCGTCCCTTTCAAAAGTCGAGCTATTCCAACGAGCCCACAATAGGTTGCTAAGCGATTTTCGACTCAATTCCCACACAATAGGGCACTTGTCGTCCAATGAATGCGATAAATATTTGTGTGCTTTATAATATATTGTAGGTCCGATTGACGTCACTACAATGAGGGTGTCTCATGTATTTTTAAATTTGGAATCTTTTACGCGGGAAGACATGAAGTGTTCGATTACGAATAATGCCGTCATGATTGCTGTCACAGATAACACAGAAATGTGGTAACCAATTATTAATTCAAAACATTCCGATCGATCGTTATCAAATTTCGAAATTAAATTGAATTCATAATATATTTGAGTTGATGACTTCCATCCATCAATCAAATCAAACGGTATCAAATCGAATTGTTCATAAAAATCCTGTTCTGAGCTTCTGTTCGATAATAATTAAAAAACTAAAACCGCGTCTTTGAATATCGAAGCCGTTCGAAATTCGAATCCATAATACAGAATAGTGAATAGAGATTCAAAGTTGGAATTCACAAGTTCACACCTCAGTAGTCAGTGTGCAAGTAGCCTCCGTAATGGACAGAGGTCCATTGAGTCCGACAATATTCATAATAGCGAGCCGGCAACTCCGATTTGAGCACCAATTAATTATTTCATTGTGCCATGAATAATCCGACGGCCCTCGAGTGCTATTAACTGACGGTCAGTTCCTTAGAGGTGTTTATTAAAAGCGCCTTAGTTTGGGGTTAGTTGCGTACATTCTATGGAGATGAAATATTGAATTCTGCGCCATTATTAAATGGATATAAGTCTATTGAGAGCTCTGTTCACATCCACTGTATTACAGATACGACTTATGTCTTAATTATATTTGAAATGTCTACAAGATTGATGGAGTTTCATTCATTACTACTTAGTATTTATAAAGAAATTACATGTCTTTGGTAGTTGTTTTTTAAGACTACATTCGACATGTATATGTATTTTAATTAGGGTATTATTTTAAATTATGTTTCAAATATCGCCAGGTATGGCCGGCGGTGGTATGACCCAGGCCATGGGTGGTTACTATGGTGCTGCTTACGGGCCTCTAGGAGCCAGCATGGCAGCAGCAGCAGCTGCAGCGGCACAACAAAACGCTATATCGGCAGCATTGACACCTAACGCACAGGTATAAACATAAATTCTAAATAACATTCTGCATTCTAAATTCAAATTCCGTATTCTAAATTCAAAATTCAAACCAATCATAATAAAATAATATATGAAGCATTCTAAATGAATTCATAATTCATTTAAAATGAATAAATATGTATGAAATAAATATAATTTAAGTTAATTAAATTAATAGATATAATTTATATGTTAAAGATGACTTCTAGAAGTGAGACAGGTGTTGGACCGGATACATTAATTGTAGAATGCAGTGAGTTGTAAGCGTTGTAGTATAATAGTTCTATAGAAGAAAATTAAAGAGATATTTTAGGGACTTTATTATATACGATAGTATGGCAACACCGGCATTGTTACAATAATAATAATAAATTTGGAGTATTGTTAAAGAATCCATGGAATGATGAAAACTTTAGCCTCTGTCCGTCTATCATTGAATTGCGAACAAACTTAAACCAATTTAAATGAAATTCTATATTTAGTCTGCTTGAATAGTAATATTGTACTAAAAATAACTATTATATACAAATATATCTTTAGATTTCGTTAAGAATCAAGGCTATACTAACATAGAAGTTATAAATGTATATATCTTTATAAAAATTATTTTCCATTAAAATCTAATTTTAAACCGAAATGATCTATATGTAAAAAATTACAAAATTTAGCGTTAAAATTCGTTAATGATTTGTGGTCCAAAACTGTCCTAACATGTGATCTTCGTAGCGCCATCACAAAAAAACTAAAAGGCGTGTAATTAAAATGGAATGAGTTTACTTTGTGTTAGCGAATATGTTTTTTTTTCGGTTCAAAAAATCGAGTGATTCGTCTCGGTTAATACGTGGAGCGGTTATATTAAAATGTTACTTGCATTTCTCTAACATTAGATAGACAGAATTCTTTCATAGTAATTATATCGTTATAGTGAAAGTGACGCCGCGGGCGTATGCTAGTAATTACAAACAGACAAATGTATCAAGGTGTAAACATTCCAACCCCAACATCTTCACACTTGCTAATTATTCGAGCCGCCTCTCCTACAAACAATACTCAGGGGAGAACCGTAGTGACACAATGATTTTGATATAACACCAAACTAGTAATTCCCATAGAGAATTTTACATTATTATATCCTCGATTTGACCTAAATTATGCTCACCACAGACGTTTAATAAGGATATTAATGTATCCGGGATTAGTGCGCAGAATTTCAAGTATTTCATCATCGTTATACCTCTTAGGTGATTTATAACATTAATTTATACTACGCGTACATTTGAACGAATTAAATTTAACAATTCAAATAAAATGACTAAAGTATTAGGATTTAATTGAATTGGTTCATAAACAGCTCCATCTTGATAGTGTCAATAAAAAATATATTAAAACAAGTTGCTAGGGCGGCGCTAGTATAACTAAATCTGAACGATATTTCACACATCAACATCAGATTACGTCAAGGGGACGCGCTCCGAAGATGGAGGACATGGGGTGAGGAATGAACCGTTCAATTAAGGTTTTACGGATTATTAGAATGTTAAACGAAATATTGACATTGCAATGAAAACTTTTTGCTGACATCGGCTGAAAGAATTACGATCTTTGTCTGTTTGTTGATAAAAAAAAGTAAGTGTCAATATCGTTAGGGTTGGTACCTTTAATTATATTTATATATAATGATATCTTTGATAGTCCCTAGACAGTTCATCCATCAAGTTCACGTGTAGAGCGGTGATCTGATGAAGCGTTTTTTATATAACCGGGTGACAACCCTACACACACCCTCTAAACAATATAATCAGCTAGCATTCAACATATGGTCTCTGAGATGTGGCTGAAGCGACTTCCGACGAGTTACAATTAATATATACGAAAAATAAAATTAATGAATTTATTCCTTTTATTAAAACAACCGTTTCGTACACAGTGCCTATATAACATTTTCTTAACTATATGTTTGTTCAGGGTATTTTGTGTTACCAATTCTTTATACCGCCTCAATTAAAAACTAAATAAATTATCAATACATATTAAACGATAAATACGTACAATATTAATGAATCAAGTCTGTGTCAGCCACAGTCTCGTCGGTAGTCTGCTCTGTTGTATTAAAAGCAGTGATTGGGCATTTTCGCGTCAGGTATGGAAACGTTTTAACGAACCATTGTGATTTTCGTATTCGATTATCTTGATCGATGTTTTATTTTATTTGTTGGCATTTCACGGTTCATATTGTGTTTTTCGTTCATTCTCGTCTCACTACCGGATCGGGGAGAGAGGTTCGATGGAACGTACAATGTATACAAAAATAAATGTATATTTACGAGAAGGAAGCGACAACGAAGCGACGATTGATTTTGTAAAAATATCGTGGTACAGAGGAAATATTATGTATAATATGTTGACTACTGAATTGGAAGTCTTAGTAGTGTAATCAGAAAATCCTTTTAAAAAGACGACAGGAATGAATGGACTTATAGGACTCTTGACCAACCGATTTTCTTTCATTCTTATCTTCCCGTCCAGCCTGAAGCCAGATACATCCTGAACTCAGGATTTTATGATTATTAAATTTCCACACTCTGCTACTACACATTTAAAACATTAAAAGAACTACACTAGAGCCTTAACCTTCCTGAGCGTATATCAATAGCGGGAGGCAGTTTGAAAGGTGTTTTATAACCGGTCATAAAATAACCCTGTGAGCCCCGTAAACCGACTGCCCCGCTGTCAGACTAATCCTGATTTAAAGCACTATATGTTATGTTAACCGGTTAGGCAATACTCATAGGAAATATGCCAGGTTAACTTTTGAGTAAATTGTTTACTTTACTGCTATATAATAGAGTTTAAAGAATAGGTGCTATTTAGGACCATTGTGAATACGTCTTTATGATATTTACTGAGACAATTGATAGTCGTTATTACAACTACTGTAATGAAAAATAATTATAATATATATAAATGAAGTAAACATATAAATATACGTCATAACATACCACATAGTATATCAGGACACACTTCATTAAAAAAATTGAAACTCGCCCCATTAAGCGAACGTTTTGTTACTGCATTGTTGTCTTTGATTTGTGTCCGTACAATGTTGTATCATATTCACACGATTCCCCGCCGTATTACAAAAGCCATATATATCATTATTCCGTGAATGCGGTATTCAATTTTCAGCCATAGATTACAATTATAATCCGCTTAAGAAAATAATAGAGGTGCTGATTTGTCAATATTTTGATTTATACGTGACGATAACTAATTGGTAGTCGTTCCACAAGTCAGTCGCCTACACCGTACAGACGCGTGGGATGACTTTTATTGAACACATTCAAATATTTCATTGCTCTTTAGATAATATTACTTGTATACTTAAACCAACTCAATACTCATTATTATTATGCCACTTTAACTATGGAACTCATAATGGTAACGCTTGTTGCAGGTTGGTTCTTCAATGGACATGTCTAAATACGGTATAGACGACAAATACAGGAGCTACGGTATGTATCCCGATCCATCTCGAGGGTACCTGGATTCCGCGGCCCTCTCCAAGGCTTATATGTACATGGATCAACAGCAGCAGCGCTCGTATCCTATGGATATCAGCAAGATGTACTCTGAAGCGTCAGTAGCTATGGCTGGGTTAAGCTCCACTGTTAATTCTGCATCCAGCTTATCTCCGCGTTCCCCAGCAGAGTCGCCAGATACTAAACAGGACCGTCCTGAAGGGTCAACGTCCTCTGGATCCAATCCCTCCCCCTCCCTTCCTTACTATCAATCCTCAGGGCTGCTGATGCCTCAGTATCCTGGCCAGTATCCTCAGAACACTCAAGCCGGTCCGGAGTTCAGGCGGCCGCTGACAGTCATATTCTGACCAGACGTCTAATTATAGCTCTATATCATTTACGAGTCGTTCTTAAGAACTCTCAGCTTAATTGTTATTTCCATATTGTTTCTTTCCGTCGTCGTGCTTGAAGTGAATTTTTTTTTTCACGTTGTTCTGTATCGTGATCGTTCTATGAAGTTCCTTGATTTTTTTTCTGTTATAGCATAAAAATTATATAGTTTAGATTAAGAGATTTAAATTGTAAATGATGTTGTACATATATTGTAACATGTTAAAAATGCCAGTGACAGTGAGTACTGTTTAAGGGAGCGCACGTTTTCACCTGTCCTTGGTGTTTTCAACGTAAAAGTCCAAATTACAACGACTCTGTAATTGTAAATATTATAAATATTTTCTTAGTTATATAAATGAGATGTGCATTAATTGACTTGTTAGTTTGTTTGTTCAATATAGACTGACGTAGTATTTATTTTTTAAATATTCCAAATCGTCTTTGAACGCTCGCTGTATGTATATGAACGTACCATTGCATTTATAATGATGCCATAAATGTTTTGTTTTACTTAAAATAAGTAAAAATAAATTTAATTTATAACCCAATGAGAATTTAACCTCAATTATTACCAGGAAAATGTAATTTCTAATGACAGTATTATGAAATTAACCACGTGTTGAAAATCATTGTTGAAATTGTCACCGAAGCATTAAGAAACTAAGCTTAAGGAAAACGCTTTCCTTTTAGTGCTTTATAAATTATTTATAGAATAATTATAATGTATTCAGTGTACAATGAATCTAGAAAATAAATATTATTGAAAATAACTTAATGAATTAAAAAATATCTTAAAAATATCTTTTGGTCTCTTTTATTTACCCGACAATTCTCAGCTTAATATTTATTAATTAAGTTAGTCTCGTTTCCTAATATTTTTATACTAGATATTAAATATTAAAAAAAACTGAAATTCCTAGAATTAATTTTGATTTTAATTAATTTTGGATCATGATTATAATTACATGTTAAAAATAATATCTTATCTCATAAATAAAAAAATACTGTTATATTTTTTAATATTTAATCAATTTAAAAAGTATAGTTTTATCATACAATTTACCTATATACAGTAAACTTTACTTACAGTTAAAATAAATTACAGTTTGATATACATATACCTATTCTCAGAAATAAAACAATTAAACCTTAAAAGTGTATAAGCTTTAATTTCTCAAAACTTTTTTATTAGTTCATGGCCTTTTAATCAGAACATGTGACAGTACTTAAATAATATATTTTTAGAAAAACTGCCATCATTTCAAATAAGTGTAACAATATCAATGACAATTTTTTAAAGAGATCATTATTAAAACATATCATATGACAATATTATTTCAGGTATGAACCGCATTATAAATTTATATTGAGACAAAAATACACATACCCTTTGAATAAACACAGAACTCTTATTACAATAAAGACTATTTTTCTTTGGCAATAATTAAAAAAATATAGCATAGATCACGGTTGAATGGTCCCCAATGTTTTTTAATAAATTATGCGCACTAGATATCACTGCGAGGCACAAGGGTAGTGATTTGGCAGAATGTAAACAACTGGGCTGTCTTTTGTTGAGTAAAATACGGTAGAATAACATATACAAGGACCCTTTCAATGTAGGTGAGTGTACAGCGTGTTGGAAATACATTCGAGAACTTTATATACAGCCGGTTTTGATGTGATGAAGAATTATCTGTTCATAAAATGTTACTCTATGAACGATTATTTTTAAAAATAATATATACTTGATAATAGGTGTCTTCCTAAACCCTGGCAGACCCTGGCTAAAGCTGGGAAATTGCCAGGAAGAAGAAGAAGAAGAAGGTGTCTTCCTAAATGATATAAGTAGATGTCTTACAATTCCAAAGTAAGAACACTAAAAATAAATAAAACAAATACTGAAAATTCGATTTGTAAAAAAGAAGTGATAAATTTAATTATGAATCAAAAATATGTATATTCGGTACAAACCATTTATAATCATACAATTCAAAAACAATATTAAATTATGCATCGCGATATATGTATTACCACCCTGTATATAAACTTACTCCCCGGTATTATGATAAAACGAAGGAAAATAAATAAAATCGCCGGTGTCGGATGCAGGCGATTGTTTTCACTGCAAACAGAATCAGAACTAATAAATATACGCTGATTTCCTCGCACTTTACCACGCTGTTTTTTGAATTACTAATAATAATTGTTTAAGAGTATATAAATACAATTATTTTTTGTTGAAAACATAAATATGTAAAAGATAATAGTATGTATTTGTTTTATGTATATGTGTACTCAATTGGATAATAGTAAAGTTATACAAGCTGCGAAATAAAAGCCGTAGACAGCACTTACAAATTCCACAAATTATCGTGTACTACATAACTCTGTTTGTCGACACTACCCCATCTGTTGTTTCCCATACAATAATGACGGTGTAATTATCCTATACTCAGACATTATACCCTCAAAGATACAACTATACTAATTGTTCTGTTTTCTGATATTGTAAAAACACTTTGTGACTGTCAACAGTAATTTGAATGCAGTTATTTTTTATTTATAATAAACGTCGGTACTATTTATGTATACTATAGTATTTAGTTCTGTAGTTGTAACATTGAAGCTAATAACTTGACCCCAAACCTTAATTTAAGGAACAATGCTGACCGTTTCTTATCGCTCAACACTTTGACAGTGACGGTGACAGTGACAGCTGTCAGTCGCCACGTGTCGGCACGTGCTGTTTAAACTGTTATCGTTGAGTTTGACAGCTCAAGTCAAAAGTTATTCCGCAAGTGTTGATTGTGGTTTGATTTTATTGTTAATTTTATATTATTTAAACCGCTCATGTTTGGGGCGTGCATTATAAATCTCCTGTTTCATTTTACAGATCCACAGATATAATCCATATTTTTGTATAGATAAAGAAAAAAAAAACTTAATCCAAAGGGATTGTTATAATTGCAATAAAAAAACAAAAAATAATTGGAGTTATTTTAGTTTCATGATGATAGGGTGTTTACCTAAGTTAAGAACAATAATATTAAAAACTAGTTATAAATACCAAAACGATGAAGGCAAAAATACAATAATAGAACCTTATTTGATTTATAAATCAAATACCAAACTAAAGCGAAGTAATAAATAAAAATGTCTCAAAGTTGAAAATCGATGGGGAAACTCGGCCGAGTTCTGGAAGCACATAATTCTCGTCTGACAGACGTGAGGGCTGTTTATACGAAAAACACCTATTGTCATGAACCCCTGGACTTTAAAACCCTCGAATTTCTTTAAGATTATACCCTCTTCAATTCTGATATTGATTATGCATTGTTTGATTATTGACATCTCGCTTGAGGGATGACGCACGTTGGAAATTTGAAAATGGGCTCATTTACAATGTTTTCCCGTTGAAGTTGTTTTTGGGTAGTTTTACTAACTAAATTTACATGCAATTCACCTGTACGGTATGATTTTGTTCTTTTATTTCTAAACATTTTTATTATTCCTTAAAAATATAGGATATTTTTTTCTTAGAAACCTGAATTTGCTCCATCACGAACATATTAGAAGTCTTCCAGTTATTTAGTAATCATGGAATACAAGGAGTATTGAGTTCTGATATTTTTTTAATAAGCTTATTACTTTTCCTGCGACTTTGCCTACAAATACATGCATTAATTGTCCCTTGGGATTCATATCAACATTCTGTGCGATTATAAAAAGATATTTTTTTTTCTCTCGTCAAATGAATGGAATGGAAAAACAAAAAAAAATATCTACCCTATTTTTATTTCTTTCATTTTGAATTATTTTGGTCTCAGAATCCTATGTTTAGATAATAATACTGAGTACTAAGTACTGACAGCTATCCAGAATGCTAAAAAATATAAAATATACTTACCTATATATTTATAGGTTTTCAAAATTCACAGACATTCAATAATTTATTTCGTTAATAGTTCTTAAACTTAATCACATAAGGTCTAGTATTAGTTTTTGAATATATATTCCATCTTTGTTCATCAGAAGTTGAAACCATTAAGATTTATATATATTTTATGATGTGATATAAATATTATACAAATATATTATTGTATAAATGTTGTACCATCATATACTCTGACATCCCTATCACAACTGGACTTGTTAATTAAAAATTTATTTATTATATAAACATGAAATAATAAAAGGAGAGGTATTGTTTAATAATATATTCATATATTATATATACAATGTAAATCTTGAAGTACGCCTTGAAAATTAATTTTCATGTAAACTATATTAAAGGACGCGACTAGATTGTGAAAAGAGTTTATGTAAGTTTTTTTTATAATTTAAATGAAAAAAGTTGTTAATTAAAATATAAAATCGTCAATAGTATCTAATAAGCTCTGTCTTTTGGATTTATTTTAAGGTTTAAAAATTATTGGCAATTAGTTTATATAAAGTTGAGAGAATTGTCATTATTTTGTAAAAAACCTATTATATAAGTTTCACACTTTTAACCTTGGTATTTCAATAGTTTTATTTAACTAATAATGATTTATCCTAACTTCCTAAAACGTTATTGTACGTATTGATTGTTTTTTACAAACAGGATAATCTAATTCACCAAGGCTCGTAATGATAAGTTTGGAAGATTAAAATTGTTATTTACCTACATCTCTGATATTGTGTTTACGAAACAATATACAATTCAATAGTATTATATAACAAAGTCCCGAATAAGACAATGGGAGAGTAGATAACACAAGTCGTTTAAACAGAGTCGTGAGGGGCGTCAAATATAATTAGATCTGTACACGCGCGAGATACACATCACATGCATCATAATGTGATGAGATCTTATTACGGAGGGTCAATAAACTGGTTCGAATCCATGTTTATCCATATATTATACGTTTTCAATACATCCAGCATCTTAGGAACACTGATGAGACTAAATTGAGACTCACAGATACAATCT